AGGTGTGAACACGGGACCCAAGTTCTGGCCAGTGAGATGCAAGCAGGAGTGTGAACCTTATGGCAGAGGACTTGTGAGTGGGAGCTGATTGAGCTGGGAGGCCTCTTGCTACCCCCTTCCCTTCTGCTGCTGCATTGGACTGTGAGAGACCTAGATAAGGGAAGCTAGGGATCAGGCTGAGAAGCATGCAGACGGAAGGAAGCTGTGTCTCTGGTGATCACACTTGTCACCAAAAGACTGGGCATGCCTACTTCAGTCTAATGTATGTGAACGTAAGACGGAGTTCTTGCTAGATGGGCCACATTCTTTTGCTGGGTGTTTATTAAAAGAGGCCTTAGAATTCTAGGTATGTATCTTTGGAAGTTCAAACCTCATCTTTCAAGGACTCAGGAGCCATGGTTAAGAGTAGGACTCTCAAAATAACAAGACTGAATTCTCTAACACTCTGTGAGAGAGCAGTATCCTAGTACTGACCATCACCACCATCTGAGGAACATGGCTGGCCTAGGCTCGGTTACACTGGCCAACTCTCTGTACTTTATGTCTCCCCCCCCAACCTCTAGCTGTTTTTTGATTTGTTTACAGACTGGCTGAAGATGGCCTTCAACTCACTATGTAGCAGAACTTCTGATCCTCCTGCTTTGAGCCACCCTTCTAGTGCTCAAAGCATGTGTCATCACACCCATGATTTTAAAAACCATCAATTTTGTGTTGGGTATGGTGGCTCATGGACATAGTCCCAGGACTTGAGAGGTTGGGGCAGGAAAGGCACACCCAGGTTACATAGGAAATTCCAGAGCTACAGAAAGAGGCTGTGTCTCAAAAACAAATGAAAACAAACCCCACCATTTCTGATGGTCGCACAGATGGGCAGTGTGTTATTAGTCTCCCCTAGCATGGCTTACATAACATCTTTGATGTATAGGTCACCAAGGACTAACAGCTGCTTAGATTATTTTTCAAGGGCTTGAGGTGATTTTATAGATATTACCAACTATTCACTTGGGCTGGTGCAGATGTCTGGTGAGAGAATATTTAGGGTAAGAAGGCAAAATCCCACCCTCAGATCATGCTTGCAATGCCATCCTGAACATGCATCTTGGAAGAGCTGTGAAGTCAGAAGATGCAGGCAAGGGTCTCCTCACTTCCACTTATCTTTCCCCCATGCCCTTCACCACCATCTATAGCCCATATTCTTTCAAATCCTGGTCTTGGGAAAGGGAGTGATCTGAGATTTGGGTCCCTGCCTCCTGGTTTGACCCTATCACCAATCAACTTTTTCGGTTTGCAAACACTGGTTTCAGCAATTTGGTAAACTCTGAAGAGGATAGTATGCCTGTTCTGAAAGCAAGTGAAACACCCCACCTCCCCTTTTTGAGACACGGTTTCAGCAGACCTTGAACTTAGACTACTCCTACCTCACAGCTTCCTGAGTGCTGCCATTCTGGCATTCTGCCATTCAGGACTGTGCAACCGTGAATAAGTACATCAACCCCTTATGCTGTTGACCCAGCAGCCAACTGTGACTTTGACTTTCTGTTAAAGTAGCTGAATCCAACCCTCACTTACATTAAATAAACAGAAAAAGAACAAGATGTTTTCAAAGCGTTCTCAAAAGGAAGCATTATTTGCTTGGCCAGGCCAGAACTAACTCCAAAAGGAAGGCTTTACTATAGCTCCAGCCACACCAGCTTGTCAAAGGCGGTATAACCATGGCTTCCCTCTTTACCCCTTGGCAGCAACAGTGTAAAAACATCATCCATGCCACCAGCTAAAGATTTCAGTGCTCTGTGGAGAAAGCAAATCTTAAGTGGGTTGTCTCGGGTGTCAGCAAATAGCTTTCATGTGAACATTCATAATTATTCTGTGTTGAAATACATAGGCATATTTATGTCCACATTCTTTGATGGAGGAGGGTTATCTGTCTATTGTTACTTTCATTGCTTAATGAAGAGACTGCCTTGGCCTTTTTGATAGGCCAGCCCTTAGGTGGGTAGAGTAGACAGAACAGAATTATGGGAGAAAGAAAGCAGAGGCAGGCAGTCGCCATGACTCTCCTCTCCGAGACAGCTGCAGGTTAGAATCCTCCCGGTAAGCCACCACTTCATGGTGCTACACAGATCATTAAAAATGGGTTAATCAAGATGTGAGAGTTAGCCAATAAGAGGCTGAAACTAATGGGCCAAGCAATGTTTAAAAGAATAGTTTCCGTGTAATTATTTCGGATAAAGCTAGCCGGGAACCAGGTGGCGGGACACAGCCCGCCGTTCCTACTACAATTCTTCTTTAAAAGCTTCATGCATCTAGATATGCAATGGTGGAGAAGTGCCCAGCATCTGCATATAAAATAAAATGGTTGGGACTGGAGAGGTATCTTAGTTAGGATTTTATTGCTGTGAAGAGACACTATGACCACAGCAACTCTTATTTTTATTTTGTCTTATTTTGAAGACATTCAATTGGGGCTGGCTTACAGTTCAGAGGTTTAGCCTATTGTCATCATGACAGAAAGTATGGCAGCATGCAGACAGACATGGTGCTAGAGGAGGAGATGAGAGTTCTATGCCTGGATTCAAAGGCAGCAGGAAGAGAGAATAACACTGGGCCCCGCGTGAGTATCTGAAACTTCAAAGCCCACCCCCAGTGACACACTTCCTCTAAAAGGCCACATACCTTCTAATGCTGCTATTGCATGGTGACCAGACACTCAAGCACATGAGTCTATGGGGACATTCCTACTCCAACCACCACAAGGGTGGTTCAGTTGGTAAAGTATTCTTCAAACACATGGATCTGTGTTTCCCAGAACCCATGCAGAACTGTTGTAGTCTTGTGATCCCAGCACTAAGGAGGCAGAATCAGGAGTAGCCCTAGGGCTTACTTGCCAGCCAGACTAACTTACTTGATAAACCCCTGGTCAATGAGAGAGCCTGTCTCAAACAAGTGGATGGTATTCCTGAGGATGGCATTCAAAACTGTCTCTTGAATGCAATGAATTAAAAAAAAATTAGTATGAAAAAGTGCACATCCAAACAGAAACATGATACTTTCATATCTTTAAAAAAAAATCTTGATTTTTTTCCCTTTTCAAATTTAAACAGAAATATGGGTGATGTGGGATTCCCCTCTGTATGCTGTGAATATGTTTTATCATCATTGGTTAATAAAGAAGCTGCTTTGGGCTATGGCAGGGCAGAATATAGCCAGGCTGGAAGAGATATAGCGGAAAAGGTGGCAGGGTCAGAGAGACAGCATGTAGCTGCGGAAGGAGACAGATGCCAGAACCTTACCAGTAGGCCACAGCCTCATGGTGATACACAGATGAATACAAATTGGTTAATTAGAGATGGAAGAGTTATCTAGGAATATGCCTAAGCTATTGGCCAAACAGTGTTGCAATTAATATAGCTTCTGTATGATTTTTATTTGGGTTTGAGCAGCCAGGGACAAACGAGCAGCCTCCATCTACACATGGGTTAAATAAATATATAATTTTCTTCTTTAACCTACTACAAGAAAAAAATACCTGAAATATATTGATAAGGATTAAGTGATGTAAATAATTTTGAATTGTATTGGGAACTGTAGCACCCAAGATTACCATGGTTACTCAGAGCTGAACAGTTATTGTCACATAAGAACATTGACTTCAGTTTCTCCAGAGAAATTTAGGCTCTTTATTTAGGTTTTTATAGAAAATGTCATGTTTTAAGTATTGGCAATTGAATTATTGAAAAACAAATCAAGGCACCAGGTGAGTGAACAGAGCAGGAGAGTTGTTGCAGCCCCAGAGGGGCCCAGAATCCCATATGAATCAATTTTTTAAAAAAAATAAAAATGAGAGCTGGGCAAGATGGCAAAAACTTATAATCCAGGGTGGAGGGTGAAGGCAGAAGATTGAGGAGTCAAAGTTGTCTTTAGCTACATAGTAAGTTCAACACTAACCCTCTCAAAAAGCAAACAGCCTTTTATTTTAAATGGCTTAGTGTGATGCTTTATTTATAATGATGGAATATTAAAATCTTTTAATATATAATGTTTGTATGTATATAAAATGTAAAGGTTTTTAAATTATTTTTTGAGAAAGGGCCTCACTAGGTAGGCTTGACTGGCCGGGAGCTCTCTATGTCAGCCAGGCTGTCCTTGATATAGAGATCTACCCACCGCTGCCTCCTGAGTGCCGGGATTAAAGGTGTGAGCCAATATCCTCCGCCAAAATTTAAGTTCTTTAGTATGATAATGATTGCAAGGGGGTGATATACAGAGTTTATGATTATTTGATCTTTAAAGCTCAGGACAGGGCTGTTTGAGTTTGAGAGCAGAACAACAGTAACAGAAAAACTGAGAATCCTCGGAACTGTTGGGAGCAGGGATACACAAAAGAGGAAAGGGAGTGCATGTTTATAAGTAGAGGCCTAGACACACATATGTGAAGTGTGTCTGGAAGCCTAAGCAAAACAATGAATGACGTTGGAAGCTCTGGGTGAGGGAGAGGGAGAAGAGCCATGCAGGCCTGTGCTGTGTGGGGAGATATAAACCATGAATGTGCAAGCAAGACACCTTTCTACACAGGTCCAAGTGAGGTACTGCTGTCTTTCTCACCAAAGGTTTCGGTGGGGTAGATCTTGGGTAGAGTCTGAACGATGGTTTAAACACACAGCTGACTGCACAGCGAATTAGCGTCCTGAGAATAAGAGCGGCACACAACTCCAATAAAGAATCTCTTAGAGGAAATAACAATCCTCTTTTTTTTTTTTTTTTTTTTGAGAACAGTCTTTTACCTCAGCATACTGAGGGTGGAAAAGCTGAAAGTTTTCACTTCCCAGACATCCTCAAACTTTTATTTTGTCCAGGACAGAAATAAAAGTGGCTGTCGTTACTATTTTATTGCCATTGCTTACATGGTACAAACCTGGCAGTTACTAATTGAACTCTCCAAGAGACACTCCAATATATGAAGGAGGCCTTGAGGAAGGAGGAGAAGAAAGTAAGGCCATTACCTGGTGAGGGATTATGTAGATGAGGAAGATGAGGTGGCCCAGAGAGCTCCTGGTGACCAGGCTGGCCAGCAAATAGCCTGTCTAGTAACTTATCAGAAGACGACACAGTCCAAGCCTTGCAGGAGAACCCTTGGTTAGTGTCATTTTTCCAGGGGTTATCTAGTGACATCTGGCAGCCAGTCCTGTTATTTAATAAGTCCTGTTCACTTCGACTTTTCTGAGAACGTTGGGCAGTGTGCTGAGGACCGGAGCTTAGGCCAGCATGGGAAGTGGCTCCATGAGAGGCTGTCAGGAAGTGATTGCCCAGAGTGATGGGTGGGAGACTCTGTGTTCTGATTGGTGGAAGCCCTTTCCGGGCCAGGGGTTTCCTTTCTGGCAAGAGATACTTTGAATTCTCTGAGGTCCTCTTCTTAAAGACAACCATAGCCACCTGATCACCAGGCTGATCTTGGCAGTTGGTATCCACGACACTGTCAAAGGTGGTGATGATGTCATTGACTTCCGAGGTGTCCTCCTCCTTGTGTCTGTCCTTACTGTGGTCCTTCGGATGGGCTTTCTGCTCCTCTTTCTTGTTTGTGCAGAAGATCTGGTTGAGCACGCTGAATCGTTCTTCCTTCTTTTGGGGTCGACTGTTCTGGGGAGGAAGAGGCCGAGCAGGTTCTGCTCTAGAGGAACAGAAAAAGAACAAGAATGCCACGCAAGGACAGGAAACGGGAAAGAACAAGATACTGACACCCTCAACCCCCATTCCATCTGCCTGATCAGCTTGTCTGGGCTCGTCCCCAGATGCTTGTGTCTTCAAGCCAAGGTTTTGCTCAAGGACCCACCTTCGATTAACTCCTTGCACAGGTGGTAACTCAACACCTCCCTGCTCTCTGAGATGGGGACTCTGCTTACTACAGCCCCAAGTCATCATCTTTCTGCTTCAGCCTCCTGTGCCTTTAGGCATCTGCTACCCACGTCTCTTGATTCCTCAGGGTTTAGAGTCTCTTCCCCCTTCCCCATTCTGTTGTTCTTTGACAGCATTGTATGTGTATGTAATATAACGCTACACACGCATGTAGTAAATTCTAGTCATGCTATCCCAACTCCCCTCTCTTTCATCCCCCTGTCTCTGCTGCTGAAACCTTATTTTCCTTCCGGCACTCCCACTGAGGCTATTTAGGGTGTCTTGCAAGAACTTGGGAGAGAAGTTTTTTACTGGAGCATAAGCAACTTATCATGTTTACAGTGCTGAAGACAATGACATCCTAACCCCTTGGCCAATAACTGCGGAAAATTCCTTGGGGAGGATCCCTTCCCATTCACGATGATGAAATGTTGACAGATCAGTCTTGTCCAGGTCTTATGCAGATAACCACAATGGCAGGGAGTCCATGGGAGCAATGGCTGTGTTTGATCCACCAGACATCATTTTGCTGCATATCTCCTGGTTCTTCTATTCTCTTTCCTCTTTGTGATGTTCCCTGAGCCTTGGTGGGTGTGACACAGCTGTCCTATTTAGGATCCCATACTCCACTATTGTTTATTTTTGACTCTTTGGCCACTCTATGGGTTTCTGCAGTAACTTCCATAGGGGCTAGTTTCTCTTTTCCCCCTCTCCCCTCTCCTCTCTCTCCCCTTTCCCCTCCCCATCTTCTCTCCTCCCTCTTCTCCCTACATGTGGAGGCCAGAGGCTGATGTGTGTCTTCCTCTGTATTTGTCAACCCTATTATTTACTCTTTAACATTATTTATTATTGTGACAGTTCTCTGAAAGAAGCTGCATCCCCCGCCCCCACTGACCCTTCTGCAGTTAACTGACTAAACTGTCACTGATTGTGGAGGGTGTGGAATGTTACAAGCCCAGATTCAAATCATCTCAGGCCATTTTCAGCTCTCTGATAGCAATTTATGGCCCTTCCCTATGGGTGACCATCAGGTAAAGCCTTTGGAATGAACAAATTGATACCTAGCTCCCATCAACCAAAGGCTAAGAGTGTCAGACGGGACCTGAGAGCCATGGCAGAAATTCCCCTGCTCTGTTCTAACCTGCTTACCAAATGTCTCCATCCATGTATCTGCAAGGTGCCTTAATTCACAACTTTCTCTGTTCTCTTTCCATAAACGCTTCATCATGGAACATGAACTTTGAGGTAACCTAGGTAACCTAAATCTACGTTCTCAGGTCATTGGCTACTCATATCTGGCTCCATAAGAAACCATTGCTGATCCCTTTTCTGGAGAGAGCTGTGTTTTGGATTGACATTGTATGGTATGCCTAAATGCGGGTGCTTGCACACCAGGGAATTTCTCTGGAGGTCAGAGGGCAACTCTGTGACTCTGGTTTTCTCCTTTGACCTTTATGTGGGCTCTGAGGATAGAATTCAGGCATAAGCTAGCATGGCAAGCCCCTTTACCTGCTGAACCATGTCTCTGGACCAACATTATTATGATGATTAGTATTTGAGACAGGGCCTCTCACTGAATCTGAAGCTTGCTTATTCAGCTACTGACTGGCCAGCAAGCTGCAAACGCCCCTTGTCTCCCTTTCTCCAGTGCTGTTTTTACAGCTGTGGGTGACTCTGCCTGGCTTTTACATGGGTGTCGGGGATCAAACTCAGGTCCTCGTGCTTGTTGTGCAAGCATTTACTGACTGAACCATCCCCTCAGCCTCCAGAGGCTTTAGTCTTTCAATTACTCATGGCAGTCTGTTTTTAATTATCACTTGATTCAGCTGCAAACAGCTTAGATCGTTCCCACACTCTCATCTCTTAAGGACAGTCAGCAGTGGCGTGGTCATTAGAGACGAAGGGTAAGGTGTGACTTCAGGCCTCACGTGGCAGAAAGAGGCTTTGTCTGCTCTGAGTGAGAGATCCCAGGGGATCCAGCGGCACTGGCATTATGCACCAGAATCTTGCCCGTTTTATGCTGTTTGTTTTTTGTTTTTCTTTCACATCTAAAAAAAACCCCACCTAACTATAGTTATGAAAAATACTCTACTAAAGCAAACAGGCAGAGACGACTCCGAATTTGAGTTCCAGTGGAAGAGGAAGTCATGTGTGCCAGAGATTGGGCGTGGCCAACGTGGGCAAGGCTCAACTCTATAAGCAAACTCAAATGAGAAAAGGTGCGTGGCAGCTGTTTGGCGGGCTCGCTCAAGCGGAGTTTCCCCGAGGCGTTGTTCTGTTCCAGTTCTTTGGGAAGTCTGTGTTATTCTCACAACCAAGTCAATGCTTTCTGCATTAGGGATCAGCCGGGAAACTGGACCCATGTGCAGGCTGCCAAGGGGGAGACTGCAATATTACTCTTTGGAATGAGATACTGTAGTCAAAAAAACACCAGCACTCAATTGAATGCAGACAATGGATGTTTTCTCACTATGGATCTTTGTTGATATGCTTATATTTAAAATTATTAATACTAATTAGTACTGCTATTAATTATCTTCCTTTCACCATGGGAGTCACATGATCAATGAATTACTGCCTAGAATCGGAACTACCAAAGTTACTCAGGTAGCCATGTGGCAGAGGGTAAGACTGATGAAACACACAAGACATTCTCGAAGCTCAATGGGCCTGGACAAGAAATCAAGGCTTTCAAGAGTTTGTGTCTTTTTAGTGGTATTACATAAGCAACTGAGAAAGGAGAAGAGCTGACTAAATTTTGTAATTATTGTCTTCACTTTTTTTTCATAATAGTTTCTGAGTCGATGCAGTGATATTTTGTTGCTTCTGGATTTATAAATGAAACTTTTTTGTGTGTGCTTTTAAATGTACTCCCTGGTTTTCTTGGTTTGGAATCCAACGGGTGGGACGGTTTCATGACTTTTAAGCACGCTATTGACCAAATGCTTCATTTGGCAGCTGCCAGATTTAGCAGTGTCTTTCTGCCATGGGCGCAGCACCTAGTGACTGACTCGCTGTCTGGAGGAACAGTGCTTAGACTGAATTTCATCCTTGGACCCAGTCGGTGTGAAGACCGTTTTGGCCTTGAGGTTTGATTCCCCCCACCCCACCTCCGAGCCCAGAAGAATGAAGAATTCCGATGGAGAAAGCTTGCACAGCTTTGCACGGAACAGAGCCTAGAGGGACACGAAGCCTGTCGACTGACTGGGAATCAGTGCTAGAAGACGAGAGGAGGGAAAATCTCAGTGCTCTTAATTTGTCTCTTCATTGGTGTTGGGCTTTGACCAGATGAAATTTCCATACCACAGTGCGAAATTCAATTAAGTTGTCTTAATTGTCTAGTCAAGGCGGGGTGTGTGTGTGTATGTGTGTGAGAGAGAGAGATTTGCCAAGAATGGAAAACAGTGCTGCTCTTATTAATTTCCCTTGCTTTGGAAAATAGCTACATCAAATGAAATTAACAGTTATTTATTTATTTACTCATTATTTATCAATGGTGTCTTCTTACACAGACAGTCCAAACTGGCCTCAAATTCATGACCCTGCCGCTTTAGCTTCCAGAATTCCAGGATTACAGCTACAATGTCATTTTCATTAAAATATGTTTTTTTTTAAATTTTAACATGGAGCAATTGCAAAATTATCATTATTTAAATAACAAAACAAATATTTTATTAACTTTTTCTTGATTAAATATTTTGACACCATAATAGTGACAGAGGTAACAGATTTGAGAAAGCTCTTTGGCGTGTTCAGAAAGTTTCGAGTGTGTATAAGGATCTCAAGAGTAAGTGATCTAGGCAGAAAGAAGAAAAGCGGGAAAGGAAGGAAAGAGGAGGTTGGAGTCCTATGACCTGTAACTGATGGATTCAAGCTTGCTACTGTTATCATGGGTCACATAATAGAGACTGTTTCACTCTATGTTGGATGACAGCAAGCGTACATCATTAATTATACAACTAATGTTACTTATATTGTGTAATGCTAATATTATTAAATTACTGTGCCCACTAGATGGATCAGTGGATAAAAATGCTTGTCACCAAGCCTGATGACCCGTGTTCCAGCCTTGGACCACACATGATGGAAGGAGAGAAACATCTGAAAACTGTTCTCTGCCTTCTACATGCACACACACACACACACACACACACACACACACACACAGGTAATATTGTTATTGCTGGGCTTGCACGCTGGTGGTCTAGAGAAGTGTTAATGTTGCACATCTTTGAGAAGACACCATGATAAACTCACCGGCCTTGGGAGAGGAGCCTGACACAGGCTGTGTGACCGCAGTAGAGGGCGTAGGCCAGGGGTGTGCTCTCGTTAATGTCCCTCAGGTTGCTGTCCATGCCCAGCTCCAGCAGTGACTGGACACATTCTGCTTTTCCGGCAGCTGCAGCCCAGTGCAGGGGTGTCCTGGGGGAATAACACAGAAAAAACACAGGGATTCAATCAGAACCTTACAGACTGACTAGCCGTGGTTGGCTGACGTCAGAGTCAGGCTGAAGGAGGACAATCCCATTGCTATCCATAGTGTGTTATAGTGAGTGTGAATCCTGTCTATGCTGTGTACAAGACGCTTCCCTCCACCTCTGTGCTTTCTGTCTGCCTTGCCATCTCTGCTCTTCCTGAGAATTTCCTAGAAGAGGAAGCATGAGTGGTATGAAGGCTCTTTACACATAGTGCCAACTGCCTTCTAGGAACATTGACTCCATTTTCTCTCTGACAGTGGAGACCTCATTCATTCTTGAACATTGAGTATATCACCATCTTTAAATTCTTTGTCAATCTGGGGCACAGAGCAGACTAAGAGGTGAGTGGCCAGCTGGACACCCCACTCTCTAGGCCCTTGGTACTTGGGCAAAACCCTGGGCTCCTCCCCCACCTGTCTCAGCTTCACTAGCCAGTCAGTAGACAAGCTTCCTGAAGGTAAGGCTGCTCCAATGCCCCCTGTCCCCACCCAGTGATTGGACCCTGTAAGCTACAAGGCCCACTCTGCCTCCAAACCCACCCATCCCCCGTGACCTCAGAGGAACTCTGCAGCACAGGCTGCGATTGCACAGAGCAGGACCAAGAAACTGAGACTGTGCAGAGCAAAGCAAGAGAGTGGGCCAAGGGAGACTTCAGCAGCTTCATGAAACTCAGAGAGCAACTGCACAGAGCGAAATAAAAGAGCAGCTCCCTAAGACACAGACAGCAACTGCAAGGATTGGACCAAGAGGCAAAGACAATTCCAGCATCAATTGGACGAAGAGGTGGGTAGGCACCAATGCAAAAATTGGTTCAACAACCTAAAAAGCAACATGGTAACGCCAGCACCCAGTGGTCATACAACAGGAAGATCTGATCATCATCCTAATCTAGAAGAAGCAGAGGAAAACGATCTTAAATATAACTTTATGGATATGATAGAGACCCTTGAAGAGGAAATGAAAAATTCCCTTAAAGAAATGGAGGAAAAGACAAATAAAAAATTAGAAGAAATCAATAAATATCTTAAAGAAACTCAAGAAAGCCAAGAAAAAACAAACAGATGAGGCAAGCTGTTCAAACAGTTTAAGACTTGAACATTGAAAAAGAGGCAATAAAGAAAATACAAACTGAGGGAATTCTAGAAATGTAAAATCTGGGTAAACAAACAGGAACTACAGATGCAAGCATAATCAACAGATTACAAGAGATGGAAGAGAGAATCTCAAATGTTGAAGATACTATAGAGGAAATAGATTCATCGGTCTAAGAAAATGTTAAATTCAACAAATTCTTAACACAAAACATCTAGGAAATCTGGGGTACTATGAAAAGACCAAACCTAAAATAATAGGAATAGAAGGAGAAAAACCCCAGCTCAAAAGCACAGAAAATATAATCAACAAAATCATAAAAGAAAACCTTCCTAACCTAGAGAAGGATATGCCAATGGAGGTACAAGAAGCTTACAGAACACCAAATTGATTGAACAACAACGACAACAAGTCCCCTCACCATATAATAATCAAAGCACAAAACATACAGAATAAAGAAAGAATATTGAAGAGCTGTAAAGAAAAAGGGCCAAGTAACATATAAAGGCAGACCTATAAGAATTACACCCAACTTCTCAATAAAAACCATGAAAGTCAGAAGGCCCTAGACAGATGTGCTGTAGACACTAAGAGACCATAGATGCAATCCCAGATTACTATATTCAGCAAAGCTTTTAATCACCTTGATGGAGAACACAAGATATTCCATGACAAAACCAAATTTAAACAATTCCTATTCACAAACTCAGTCTTACAGAAGGTACTACAAGGAAAACTCTAACCAAAGGAAGCTAACTTTACCCCAAAAAACACAGGCAACAGATAACCTCATATTAGCAAACCACAAAGAAGGGAAACACACAAACACTACAACCAAAAAATAATAGGTGATGTGGGAAGTCCTTTTGTCTATGTGTTGCTTTTATTGGCTAATAAATAAACTGCCTTGGCCTGTTGATAGGGCAGAACTTAGGTAGGCAGGGAAACTAAACTGAATGCTGGGAAAAAGAAGGACAGAGTCAGGGAGAAGCCATGTAGCCCCCAGGAACCAGACAGAACTTTAGCTTGTAAACCACAGTCATGTGGCGATACACAGATTAATATAAATGGGTTAAATTAATATGTAAGAGTTAGCCAATAAGAAGCTAGAGCTAATGGACCAAACAGTGATTTAATTAACACAGTTTCTGTGTGATTATTTCAGGGCTAAGTGGCTGGGAACTAACTAGTGGTCTCCTTACTACAAACAGGAATTAACAATTACTGATCATTAATATCTCTTACTATCAATGGATTCGATTCACCTATAAAAAGACACATGCTAATAGAATGGATATGAAAGCAGGATCCAACCTTCTGCTGTATACAAGAAACACACCTCAACATTAAAGACAGACATTACTTCAGAGTAAAGGGTTGGGAAAAGATTTTCCAAACAAATGAACCCAAGAAACAAGCAGATGGAGCTATTCTAATATCTAACAAAATAGACTTCAAACTAAAATCAATCACAAGAGATGAAGGACACTTCAAACTCAACACAGTAAAAATCTATTAAGATAAAATCTCAATCCTGAACATTTATGCCCCAAATACAAGAGCACCCACAATATGTAAAAGAAATATTACTAAAGTTTAAATCACACATCAAATCCCACACATAAAAGTAGGAGATTTCAACACCCCACTCTTCTCAATGGACAGGTCAACCAGACAGAAACTTAACAGAGAAATAAGAGAACTAACAGATGTCATGACTCAAATGGGCTTAATAGATATCTGTAGAACATTTCATCCAAACACAAAAGAATATACCTTCTTCTAAGTACCTCAGGGAACCTTCTCTAAAATTGATCATATTCTCGGAAACAAAGCAAACTCAACAGATACAAAAGATTTAAAGTTAGAATTCAACAAGAACACTAATTGAAGAAAGCCTACAAACTCACGGAAATTGAACAGGGCTCAATTAAATCACCCCTGGGTCAAGGAAGAAATAAAGACTTCCTAGAATTCAACGAAAATGAAGGCACAATGTACCCAAATCTATGGGACACTATAAAAGCAGTGCTAAGAGAAAAGTTCATAGCACTAAGTGCCTACATAAAGAAAGTGGAGAAATCTCACACTAGTGACTTAACAGCACACCTGAAAGCTCTAGAACAAAATGAAGCAAACACACCAGAAGGAGTAGATGACAGAAAATAATCAAACTGAGGGTTGAAATCAATAAGATAGAAACGAAGTAAACAATACAAAGAGTCAATGAAACAAAGAGCTGGTTCTTTGCAAAAATCAACAAGACAGACAAACCCTTATCCAAACTAATTGAAAGGCAGAGAGAGAACATCCAAATTAACAAAATCAGAAATGAAAAGGGGGGCATAATGACAGACACAGAGGAAATCCAGAGAATCATTAGGTCATACTACGAAAACTTGTACTTCACAAAATTTCTTTTACATTTCACAAAAATGTAAAAGAAATGGACAATGTTCTGGATAGGTACTATATGCCAAAATTAAATCAAGACCAGGTGAACAATTTAAGTAGACCTGTAACCTACAAAGAAATAGAAGCTATCATCAAAAGCCTTCCAAGCCAAAAAAAAAAAAAGCGCCCAGAGCCCAAAGGTTTCAGTGTATAATTCTACTAGAACTTCAAAGAAGAGCTAATACCAATGCTCCTCAAATTGTTGCACATAATAGAAACAGAAGAAACATTGCTAAACTCTTTTTATGAGGCTACAGTTACCCTGATACCGAAAGCACACAAAGACTCAACCAAGAAAGAGAATTACAGACCAATTTCCTTCATGAACATCGATGCAGCAATGCTCAATAAAATACAGCAAACTGAATCCAAGAATACATCAAAAAAATCATCCATCGTGATCAAGTCGGCTTTATTCCAGAGATGCAGGAATGATTCAACATGCAAAAATCTATCAATGTAATCTACTATATAAATACATTGAAAGAAAAAAAACATATGATTATCTCATTAGTTGCTGGAAAATAATTTGACAAAATCCAACACCCTTTCATGATAAAGGTCTTGGAGAGATCAGAGATACAAGGAACATATCTAAACATAATAAAAGCAATATACAGCAAGGCAACAGCCAACATCAAATTAAATGAAGAGAAAATCAAAGCAATTCCACTAAAATCAGAAACAAGACAAGGCTGTCCACTGTCTCCATATCTATTCAACATAGTTCTTGAAGTTCTGGCTAGACCAATAAGGCAACATAAGGAGATCAAGGGGCTGCAAATTAGAAAGGAAAAAGTTGTACTTTCGTTATTTGCAGATGATATGATAGTATACATAAGTGACCCTAAGAATTCTATCAGGGAACCCCTACAGCTGATAAACACCTTCAATAATGTGGCAGGATATAAGATTAGCTCAAAAAAAAAAAAACAGTAGCCCTCCTATATACAAATGATAAAGAAGCTGAGAAAGAAATCAGAGGAAATTACCCTTCACAATAGCCACAAATAAAAAATATCTTGGGGTAACACTAACCAAAGAAGTGAAAGACCTGTATAGCAAAACTTTAAGTCTTTGAAGAAAGAAATTGGAGAAAACATCAGAAAATGGAAAGATCTCCCATGTCCTTGGATAGGTAGAGTTAACATAGTAAAAATGGCAATCCTACCAAAAGCGATTCACAGATTTAATGCAATTCCCATCAAAATCCCAACGCAATTCTTCATAGACTTTGAAAGAACAATACTCAACTTCATATGGTAAAACAAAAAACTCCAGGATAGCCAAAACAATCCTGTATAACAAAGGAACTTCTGGAGGCATAACCATCATAGGACCACACTAGGCCCTCTGAATGGAGGTGACAGTTGTAAGGCTGGGGCAGACTGTGGGGCC